ATAATATTTTCATGGTAGAGTTTTAAAATGTAGATATCTGGATTGAAGTAGAATATAATTATATGGTAGAAAGCTTATTTATAACAATTAGTTTATTTAACCTGTTTTCATTGCTTTTAAGAATTACTTTTTTCAAAGCCAAAACAGAGAATGCTCACCATAGGACCAGTGGATGTACTCAAACAAAAGGAATGCACATTGCCATGCATTGTACACACTTTTGGCTTCAGTATCTCTGGGGTTTTAGTGTTTATGTAAATGCAGGCATTGGTACAATGAGGCCTGGTAACTCTACAGTAAACTACATGAAAGGCCCAATAGGAAAGCATTTTAGAGTAGTGGTTCTCATGCTTCAGTGAGCCCAGGATTCACCTGGGTGCTGCATGGGCTGGATTCCTTTGTCCTCAGAGCTATTCAGATGCACTGGGTGGGAGCAGGGAAGAGCACACAAGAATCTTTATTATCAGGAAGCATCCTGAGATCCTGAGTGATACTGGTTCTCCCAGGCCCTGTTGTGAAAATCTAACATCACTTGCTCCCTCTAATAGTACCTCTTGATTCTCCCATTTGAGATACATCTGTAATTAAGATCATATTATTTACATTAATTTGAAGGTCAAAGGTTTGCCATGATGGAAGAAAAGGTCGTTCTTTCATGGATCCTGAGGCATTTTTGGGTAGAATCCACCCAGAAAAGAGAAGAACTTGGTGTGGCAGGAGAGCTGATTCTTCGTCCTACTAATGGCATCTGGATCAAGTTGAAGAGGAGAAAAGCAAATGCATCCTAACTCCATTATTGGGCTGTGCTTTAGTAGGAATAAGATCTTTCTTTAAGAGAACATTTGCATTTACAATGTGTGAATCATGAGTTTAATACTCTTAATCCCTACACCTAATTTTTTTCTTATCCCCACTTAGCTTGGAGTCAAGTCTTCCAAAGAGAGGATTTTTATATTGCCATCACCACCATTATCTTATCCTTGTTCTTGATCCCAAAAGGCGAGTTAACTAATGTCCATACCCAAATAAACATATACATTTTTCAACAGAGGGATCCAGAGTTCAATTCAATTTCAATTGACAGACCCAAAGGATATGTTAATTGAAGTTCCAGAATTTTTTAAGATGTTCTTGTTGAACACAAATATACATATATACATATACATTTAATTTGGAAAGGTTAATAAAATACTTAGGCTGGGGCATAGGTTCTAAAAATTATATCAGTGGCATCAGTTATGAGAATAATTATGATAATGATACTTTTCAGGATTTATTAAGGAGAGCAGATCATTTATAAGTTGACTCATAGGTTCTGTTCCTATTTCTCTTTTAACTTTGTACTTATGGCCTTAATTTCACTTCATTCTACATAACATCACAATTACCTTCACATATCAAATATTACCAGGAGAGATTCCTCTTGGTGATCTCCAGTCCCTCATAATGGCTTTTGGAGCTGGAAGCACCTTCGACCTTATCAGGTTATACTCCTTTTCATTCCAAGGGGATAAGATCAATCAGAAGTAAGTTTCTATCCAAAGTCATACCACTAGTGGGGACAGAGCTGGGAATAGATAGAGGTCTAAACTCTAAATCTCTACTACAATATGCTATTGCTTTATGAAACTCGGGTCTGTAAATGGGTGTATCCTTAGAACACAGATCTAGAATTCTCCCATCATTAAGGAGAAGAGAAGCCGCACATGTATAATAATCCAGCACTTAGTTTAGGGTTACACTACTGGGAAATTCAATCCTCCAGAACATACCTGTCAAGCTAACAACTGACACAAATTCCCTGAATTTGAATTCCATTGACAATTTTTCTACTCCCTCACTCAGTGACTTAAAAAAAACTTATTTTAATGAATAATTTTAATGAGATTGTTTATGTTTCTAAATTGATTTTAGAGTGTGAGGAATGGAGAGAGAGAGAGAAACATCAATGTGATTTGAGAGAGGTACCTTGATCCATTCCTTCCTGTTCACCTCCCGACTGGGGATTGAACTCACACCTAGGTATGTGCCCTGACTGGGAATTGAACTCGTGACCTTCTGGTGCATATACAGAGATTGTATCTTTAGTTTTCTCAAGGCAAATGCAGGTGGAAGCAACAAACTAAGAGAATGGAATATGTATTCTTTAATGGATATCAAAGGAAGAGCTGACCCAACCAAAGTCATTGGGCAAGTGTTATGGGCTCTGGCGTTCAGGGCAGGGTCAACAGCTCTACACACTTTACCATCCCAAAGACCCTCAGTGCAGACAAGTCAGTCCGTATGTTGCTGAGAAAAAGTCAAGGATGTATATCATGTAGTTGAAAATGATTCCCAAGATATGATAAACTTTGTTATCTAGAAAGTAGGTATATGTAGAAAATTCCCCAGATTATTTTGGATAATTGAAGTTTTATTCTTGGAAATTTGTATTATTTTATGCACTTACATTTAAACCTTGCCTTTAAAAAATGTAGTGACCCTACACTAGACATGAAATTAAATGTAAAGCAAAGTGTTGCTTTGTGTTCCCTTTTGGCTTAAAATCTTCATTTGTCCCCAAAAATTCATATCAGTCTCACTCAGACTTCCTAACAAAATGTCCCTGTGCAGTTATCACAGACTGATCTTGAGTTTCCCTGACTCTGAAAAATAAGTGGAAAGACCAACATATTTTGCTTAATCGAAAGGAGAAAGTGAAATCTCTTAGGACTTCCTGGGAATCAGCAAAAGCCCCAAGCATCCACTGGGTACCCAGGGATTTATCATCTAGAAACCTCTGCAGGTGATGGACTGCTGAATCGATGGTCTGTTCATTGTCACAGACAACTGTGGAACATGTTTCTGGCCCAACTACTGACAAGTCTCAAAAATAAAGAGATTCTTGGACTATATCTAGAAGATCAAATGTATTTCTAGCACCTCATGATATGCTTGTGTGTGTGTGAGTGTTTGAGTGTGTGTGTGTGTGTGTGTGTGTGTGTGTGTGTGTTACAAGCCATTAGCAACCCTATGAATGAGTGATGTTCACAATATCATGTTTTCAGCTGCCTTGCTCAGCACTTGTACTAGTCATCTCCTATCTACTACTACTTTTATGGGCTCAATCCATATCATATTTGATCTTCCTCTTTCTTGCTGCCTTTGATTTTTCCCAGCATTATTGTCTCTTCAAAATAACTCTGCCTTCTCATGATGTGCCTGAAGTTAGAAAGCTTCAGTTTTGTTTTGTTTTTTTTTGTTTTTTTTTTTTTTTACCTCCAGTGATATTTCAGGCTTAACTTGTTCTTGGACCCACTTGTCTGTCTTTCTGGCAGTCCAGGGTATCTGTAGAGCCTTCCTCCAACACCATACTTCAAATAAAACAATCATATCTAAACACTATGACAAATGCTCTTTTGAAGAAAAGAAAATATTAGTATCAGGTTTCTATATAGAAATGTGATTTTTAGCACAGCCATTATTCACATGAAGCATAAGTTGACTAAGATCAGGAAAGGTAGGACTCAGTAAATGTGAAGTACAATAAAAAGGAATTGCTGGTGTCTTGATTGATGGCCTCAATCTAAAAGGCATCACAGCTTGTATATTTGAAATATGCTACTGCATTGCAACCAGAAATTATTTTATTGGTCTTGTTATCCTCCATTTTTAATAAACAAGGGTTCTGCAGTGCAGAAATATGCATTAAATATTTACTTAAGCATCAACTCCCTAAAAATCTAATTTTCTAACCAAACAGATGTAATGCAATTTTGAAGAATAGTTAGAAAACAAAGGAGATTTAGTGGGAAATTGGTTATGTCTTTAAATATTTTTAAAAATTCAAAAAGGAGAATAAATTATTTTGTGTGGATGGAGTAGAAAAATCTAAGATGGAAGGATAGAAGTTGCAAAGAGGTGTATTTCCGTGTATAGGGATACTATTTCTAAAAAATATTAAAATAAGGGAGAAACCAAGATGGCAGCATAGGTAAACATCTGAAATTGCTGCCTCACACAACCACTTCAAAACTACAACTAAAAGACAAAATGGACATCATCCAGAACTACCCGAAGGCTGGCTGCGGTAAAATTCTACAACTAGAAGGAAAAAGAAAAGCACACCGAGAACCAGAGGAGGTGTGGAAGTAAAGTACAGAGGTACAGAGGTGCACATAGAAAGGGCTGGCAAATGGGGACGCGGTTGTCTTTTTCAATCAGGAGGGAGACACAAGCTCCCAACTGCTCTGAACTCCAGTTCCAGGGGAGTCTCTGGGGACCCAGACTCATACGGGGAGAAACAGGACTGTCTGGCAAAGGGTGGAACTCGAAGGCGGCTTTCTCTCAGAGGTGATTGCATAGATTACCCTGGGACACTGAGACCCAGGGCCTCTTAGGACAGGGCTGAGGATCAGCCATAGCTGTTTGCTCCACACTGTTGAGGCTTTTGCATAT